GGTGGCGACGGTGGCGTCGGTAATCTCCGTCGACGCAATGGACTCCTTGATCTCCTTCCGGTCTCGGCCATCCTTTTGATCTCAACCTGTTCTGTCCTAAGAAGTCCAACATCTGTTGCAAGCCCTTGTACCAAACGTCGAATCTCATCAAGTTGATCTGATGTAGGATGTCCTGCAGTGGGGTGATCTGATGTAGGATGAGATGAATGTCCACCTGAAACATCATCGGCTGGAGCATCGCGCACGTCACGGCTTGAAGCCACACTGCCTCGTGATCGTGCCAACCTTGACATGTTCGGGATCAAATGTCGAATTTGTCCCAAGCTCGCAGCCATGTCCTTACATCCATGACAAACTCCACCACAACGCATCTCTCCCCACATCCAAGATGATGCATGAATGAGAACAACGTCATAACCAAGGACTTGAGACACCTGTAGGCAGCAAATCCTTGTCCCACTGACCTGTGGCGACCTGACTTGCACTCCAAGTCCACCAGCACCTTACTGTCGGCTTCCTGCTGTGTGACGAACTGGAGGATGTTGTTGAGATGTTGGATGAACCTGTCTACTTTGCTCATAGTCTCAAGGATCCCATGATGCCAACCCACATGCGACCTGAGGTTAACGTCCTGATCAGGATCGTTAATGTCCTCACAGTTGATGCTCAAAGTGTTCCTGCTGGTTCTGCACGCATGTTGTTGAAATCTACGTCCACGAGTCATGATGATCACCTTCCTGTCACTGCGCAGTTCTTCATTCAACTTCGTCTGCAAGATGTCGTAGTCCCTCGAATGAAAACCACACATGTCATGGTCAGCCATGGCAACTTCCGATGTGGATGCCGTGTATGCGATGTTGTACTTTCTGTGACACTTCGGGATTTGGGGAAGTTCATCCGACGGTGTGTTGTTGATGTTGGTCAATCCTTCAGTCAAGTTCATCACAAGTAAACCTGATTTGGAACATCTCTTGATATTCAATGGTTGATCTTTGATGGAAATCACCCCTTTTGCTAGGTCCTTCACTAGGCCCAACTTGGTTTGCGCATGCAATGAAAGAAGCAATGGGCTGTTGCCTGTTGACAATTGATATGAACCCAACTCCCCATGCATGTTCCCGTCTGGAAGCAGCAGCGAAAAAGGAATAGATCTCACACCTTCGGTCTTGGTACTACCACTTCCCAGACCAGCAAAACTCTTACAACCGTCATCCTTCAATGGCATACTGTAACCCAATCGGGCCAGTCGTGCTTCTGCATCGACTGCCCAGGCTTTGCTATGACAAGTGCTGTTGCAACCTTCATCCAATACTGCAAAGACATGGGGTGACTTGGCAATGTCAACAGTTTCATAGTTCATGTAAACCAAGTCTTGGGGGTATTGAATGTCACTTCCATGCAAACAAATGCCAACGTACCCAGCTAACTCCCTGCCCGAGGGGTCGCCGTGCCCATCTTCATTCACAAAAGAAAAACTGTCCTCTTCCTCTGTTACGTCATTGATGGCTTGGTGAAGTAGTTCATGTAGACGTGCACGGGTCATGACCTCAGATTGACAGGTTTCGGTAACAAGAGTGGCAAACAGGGGCAACAACTCTTCCAACTGGACTGGATTCAATCCATCCGATTCTTCAACCAATGATTCAACAATGGGGACTGTTCGAACTGATGCGGTTTCAACCTTCTTGGCAATGGCAACACGCTCCTTGCGAATCTGCATAGGAGCTTCATCAATGAAAGTGCAACACTTCTTGCAGAAAGTACGGTGTGTTGATTTGCTGGATCCCCTAAAATCTGTGTCGTCATGAAGGCAATTTTCAGGGGTCATCAACGGTACCATGTCACGTCTTGTTGTTTCGGAATGACCGCACACAAGACAGGTCTTCCTGATGGTGTACCCCGTAGAACCTTGTTTTGTAAACTCACGACATTCCTGACACTTGTTCGGCAAAGGAGGATTTGGGGGTTTCTTTCTGCCAGTTCCCCGAGCCACCAACAAATCTCGGTGCTCGACATGCTCAACAGGGACTTCGCGCAAGTGAATCCCATCAGCACCAACCACAAAGTACTTGTCAACCCAATTCAACCATGTGACATAGTATGGACTCTTGGGGGTATGTTTCTTGGCATGATGATAGTACCCTGTCTGTTCAAACAACACATTCCAAAAAGACAAACCCTTGAACTGTCCAACAGGAAAGATGCACCCATGGTCCTCGGGTCTCATTGTAACATCGAGATCCCGGGAAATCAAGCCAACGTTGCTGCTGGATGCTGCGGCACGTGAAGGTCGACTGCTGGGCTTCGCTTGTCGAACTGCCATCATAGCAACTCCATCTCTGTCACGATCAGGTGAAGCTGTCAAAGTCACACCATCGTCATCTGAAGAATCGCTCATGTCGGCAAAGTGAGCTGCGGGCTTTGGGGCTGACTTTCCAGGGGCTCCGGCTTTCGACCCCGGGAATTTACATTCCGGGTCACCGGCCCAGTGCCCTATGACTCCGCACCTCAAACATTTGCTCTTCGACTTCAGCTCTGTGAGCTTACGTCTCCTCTGATCGATAGTGAGGTTGGACTTCACGATCTTTCCTTTGCCTTTTCCTTTGGGCTTCCCGAAGGATTTCCCCTTGCCACCTGCTTTCCCCATTGCGGTGAAAGCAGCAAGTTGTAGCTGGATAGCGTCTCCTGCCTGTCGATCATCTTCTGCACCTTCAACTTCAAGCAAACTGTTCAATGCAACTGCTTCGTACTCATCGACGTCGTCAAAGTAATCAAATTCGTTGTCACCTTCTAGGTTTCCTGGCTCCTCTTCTGCAATGTCACCAAGCATGCCAACATATGAATCATCCTCCCAGGATTGATCCACAGCTTCATCCCAAGATTCTGCATGTTCCTCCCCATCATCGGGGTAGGCTGCATAGGCTGCTTGGGAATACGATCCCTTCGAAGAAGGTTTGCCTTTGCCATAACCTTTGCCTGACGACTTGCCATGCTGTTGAGGATTACCACGTCCTGTCCAGGATCGTGACCCTTCTCGCAAGTGAGTGCCACTGTAGTTCTCGATCAGCACCTTGCCAACACCTTCAAAATCCTTAGTGTCTGCACAGGCCTTCACAACGAGGATCTCCTGTCGATTGAGCCCACTCAACTCCAACATCAACTCTGTCCTCAAGCTGTCCGAAAACACCATTGTGTCATCCAACTCGCAAAGCATGTGCCACCAACGTCGTCTCCTCTGAACATAGGAAAGCATGGGTTCGCCTGGCTGGCGAGACAAAGGACCACCTTGCTTCTGTCCTGCTCGAAATAATTCCTTGGCTTCCTCACGGGCTCTTGGGAACACATGGGATTTGATCTCACCCACAAGTTTCACAAGGCCACCAGGTTTGGACAACACTTCAAGTCCAAGATCCCTAGCTATTGAGAAAGCATCTCCTCTCAGTCCTTCAATCACCTTGTTGACCAATGGTCCACGGTCAATGTCTGTCTTCTGCTTGCCGGACTTCGAGGATTTTCGGCTCGCTCCAGACTTCGGAGTCGAGACTGCTGATGTAGGCTGGGCTGCTTGAGTAGCACCCGACAAATCTGGAAAAGTAGCATACTCATCTGCGTCTTCTGCGGCAGGCTCTGTTGCTGTGGTCCCAACGGGATCCGCAGACTTACTTGTCTCCTCCTCCAATTGTTGCTCATAAAGACGAATCCGAAGGAGAGTCCTGAACTGCCAATCATGAAAGTTCGCCGCATCACCTGCATAGATGTATGATCCACTCTTCGTCTCAAGTGGTGCCGACGAATGGCGCTCCTGGCTGAAACGAAGGCCATTGATCGACATGATGCTCGCTCCGTTCGGAGTCGAACAAGAAGAAAAACTGCAGACGATAAGATTCTTATCGTCTGCTTTCAGGCGTTAACAAGTGCCTGCCCTGGTCAGGGTCAGACAGATTCCCGAACCACGACACACTCGAAGTTCAGTTGATTCCCAAAGTTACCAGACTCAAATTCACAAAGAGTTCCCTGGGTCACTGACGTACCACCGGATGCGGGTCGTCACCCGCTCCGCTACCAATCTGAATTGGAAACGGGATCGTCAAATGCCCAACTTTTACCACGGCAGCGCGGTATGACTCAAGGGCCCTAAAGCCAAATGTCAACGGGGCATGTGATCACTTGGCTATACAAAATATACATTAGACAGGTCAAACTCACATATATGATATATCTATAGTTAAATTAATGGGGTTTATGAAAAAACCATAGTTAATTGGTATAGATACCATAGATTAACTATAGATATATCTACTGGTTGCTGGTGCAATGTGCACCTTGAAAAATATATCAGTTCGTCAATGGGAAGGATGACATCCCATATATGAAATGGAAAATAAAAAATGTTCCAAACCACCAACCAGATTATTCAAAAGTTGGGAACCTCCATTCTTTGGCCAGCTAATCTAGAATACAACGATGGTTCACCTGCCTGATAGTACCTCAACACCGCCCGCTTCAAACGTTGAGTATCATGGAACACAGGCCACTCTAAATGTTGAGAAGGAATGGATGGAATTCACCCCCAAGAAAAAGATAATGGAACCAGAGATGTTTTTGAGTTGACCGTTTCAAAACATGTAAAAATGGGGGCCGCCACAATGTTCCTTTCTGCCTAAAAAAGAAGGATATGAAAATAGAATTTAGGAACTCCGATTCGCAAGAGCTCCCAGGCACCCGAGCCTTGGAAATCAGTTCAGTCTTGTCCTTTAAGTAGTCTGGCAAAGAACCTGCCACAAGACAGTTTCCCTGGCATTGTCCCAGTGATGCTCAGTTGAGTAGCTGCAATGAGCATCAATGTCCGAACCATGATATGTCAACGTCATGGCTCTCTCTGAAGATTCTGAAAAATAAATTGCCATATTTTGCAATTTCCCCAACAACCCCAACCTAACCATACCTAACCTGTGTCAGTGGCATCGTGACTGACATATTCATAACTCCGCTGCATTAACTTTTGAGACTCAAAAGATTGATTTCACGGTTTCGCCAAGGGCACACCACATTTTGTGTAGGGCCGAAGATGGGCCGAAGACTCTTTGGTCTGATCAGGTCGAGCTTTTCTCAGTCTTCGCATCGAGGTTGCAGGACTGTGTATTCAGACATCTCTTTAATTACAATATATTGAATCTATAAAGGTCAACAAATACAGCTTTGGTATCCTTGTGGGTTTTGCCACGTCGTTCACCATCAGCTGGTGAGCGCTTGCTGGTCGCGACGACGACCGAGCCAGGTGAAGAAGCTGACGGGTGACTTGACCACAGCCACCACTCCTCTCCGCAGACGACGGAGGAAGCGTCGCAGGATCAGGATCAACGCCGTGCCCGACACGCGCAGAAAGAACACCAAAACGGCCAAGGCCAATGAAGGCAGGGCCCGAAAATGCAAGCGATTCCATTGACTTCGCAGAATAAAGCGCAAGGCGCGTCGATCTCGTTGGGCGCGCTGTTTCTGTAACTTCTCATACTCAGGAGATCCTACTGGAGGTTCCTCCACAGACTTGCTGGAACTGGCCAAATGCCGCAGGTCCAATTTCCCCGCCAGCCAAATAGCCACCTGCTTTCGCAGGGATCGGGCGTCGCGTGAAGCTAAGAAGTTGAAGAGGGCCTTGAGGTCAATGTCCTTGGAGTTTTGTTCATCACGTGTTATCCAGCAATGCGGTATACCCCCAATGGTTACAGTAACCATCATATTCCAGTTTTTTTTCTCATATTTTGGCCGTTTTGGGGTGGTATATTATGTAAATATATTATATGCACCATTTTCAGACACTGCCGTTTACTTGTAAAGAAACGAACATCTCAATAGTTTCCGCTCAAAACATGAAATTAAAGCGCGATACTTGTTTCCCTTACACAGTGGACGATGATCAAAGTGGATCAATCAGAACTCACTCAACTGAAATCCAGGTCTCATATGCCATGCGCCGGAGACATTGGCCTTCGCTGGAGCCTAACAGGCCTTCCAGTGGCCGGAAACCGCTATCCGAACTGGATGGATTGCTATCCTCAGCATCCAACAGGGTCATTTCCTCACCTTCAGCGGCCTGCAGGGTGAGTCTCTTTTGATTTCAAGGGCCTCATATTGCCAACTGGCCCTCAAGTTGCTTAGTAATTAACCCTTAAACATCTTTAAACCCAATATTAACCCAATAAGATCCAATAAGAAAACATAAGTAGAAAACTGGGCACTCTAGGTACAAACGAGTTGCTGGTTAATAGATATTTATTCCATTTTGTTCCCCCAAATAATATGGTAATTTCACAGGTGTTGGCCCATCCCCAACGACAAAACCATAGCTTTCACGCCTCGGCAGGCGCCTGCTCCGTGGTCTTCAGCAGTTCCTTCAATTCGGACCATTTCCTGGGCAAAAAGAGGACCTTTTTCTCCCTTCTTGGGGGGCTGGGTAAAGGATATTTATGGACTATTTATGGTATATTTATGGGGTACTTATGGGTCCCATGGGTCAGTATGCCCAGAAAATGGCAAACAGATGGCAACGTCCATACACTTCCCGTACTGGGGGAGTTGACATGGGGACTTGTCCCATGGCCCCTTTGCTGATGGACTTTTGTTGAAAAATACGAACGTTTTTGGGGATCATCAACCCATTTTTATGGTTGAACATAACCAATAATATCACCAACCAAACATCATGTGAAATAGTTTAACTTTTGGTCTGGTGATATATCCCATTATATATATATACTGTATATATATATATATATTTACCAGTAGTACCGCACAAGGCGGTGGCGGAAGTTTCAAAAATAGGAAACCTATAGGAGAGGTTGGTTGTTGTGAATCAGGGATGGCAGAGCGAATCCACTGATGGACCGAAAGGTGCTTGATCTCTCTCACTCTTTCTCTCTCTTTCTCTGCCTATCTACCTACCTACCTATCTATTTTCTATGTATCTATCCAGCTATCGATCTATCTATCTATCTCTCTTTCTCTCTCTTTCATCTGTCTATCTGTCTATCTGTCTACCTGTCTATCTATGGTGCAGTGTCATCCAGTCTAATGCAGTGTAGTGTACTGTAGTGTAGTGTAGTGGAGTGTAGTGGAATGTAATGTAGTGCAGTGGAATGTAGTGTAGTGTAGTGTAATTTAGCGTAGTGTAAATTAGTGTAGTGGAGTTTAGTGGAGTGTAGTTGTAGTTGTAGTTGTAGTGTAGTTGAGTGTAGTGTAGTGTAATGTAGTGAAGTGTAGTGGAAGGTAGTGTAGTGTACTAGTGTAGTGTAAAGTAGTGTAGTGGAGTGTAGTGTAGTGTCATGCACTGTAGTGTAGTGTAATTTAGTGCAGTGGAGTGTGGTGGAATGTAGTTGGGTAGTTGTAGTGTAGTGTAGTGTAGTGGAGTGTAGTGGAGTGAAGTTGTGTAGGTGTAGTTGTAGTGTTTTGTGGAGTGTCGTGTAGTGTAATGTAGTGAAGTGTAGTGGGAGTAGTGTAGTGTAA